GATCCATCTCTTGCAGTGAGGGAATAGGACGGTGTATAACAGGCTGCATGCTCTTCCCGGGATAAATGTATCCATCCATCCCTTCCTGATGCATAGTGCTGAGCCTACAGTACGAGCTGATGCATAAATACAGGGGCAGAGATGGCATCTGGTACAAAAAGCTTCAGCCCAGCTTTTTACCACGAAAGCATCCCCGTGCCGCAGCATCACCCATCACTTCCATGTGCCACCACCCCCCTGGCCTGAGAATTTGCTACAGACTGTAGGCTGGTGGAGCACATGCCTCCAGCCTATGAGAATGGACAGGGTTGGAAGGAACCTGATGTCTCCCTGACGGCCTGACTTGATCCAACTCCCTGCAAGTGATGCCAACATAGAGCATTTTGCCCAGGGTGCCAACTGCACGTGTGCATCCTGAAGCATGAAAAGGAAGATGTGAAGAAAGCTGACTTGGCTGCTTGGTGGGAAAAATTGAAAGAACACTTCAAGGCAGAAATGGGGTAATTTGTCTTAGAGGGTTCTTCTGCTTGCCCCCTGCACCTCTGTGGATGAACACCAACATTTGGCTGAGCTCTAATCTCATGAAGGAGCATCTTTACCCCAGAAAACTGCTTTTAGTGGCTGGATTCATCCTGACATCTAGCAATATGCTGGATAAATGGAGGGAAAGGTGCTCTCACATGGATGCCAGCATCTCACTGGGACTCTGTTCTCCTTCTCTGGGTTGCCGTGGGTCAGAAACAACTGTGCTGATCTCACCTGTGTCCCATCAACCTGGCATGTGAGTTGGGGCCCTGATAGCCATGCACAGATGAAATACTAAACATAGGCAGGGTCAAACCCTGGTGCTGTTCTGCACTGCCCTCTAGAGGAGCGTGGTTTTTGCTTCCCTGTGTGGAGAGCACTGAAAAATGAGGATCTGCAGGCAGAAGTTGGTCCAGGTCCCATGCATCCCCAAGGGCTTGGTGGCCTATGCTTTGCAGCAGGGATGGTGCCCAATCAAGGCAGCCTAGCTTTTTGCTCTGCAACCTTCCAAGTCTCCATCTTCTCTACAGCAGAGATCTTGTGGGGATTGCAGGCAGCAATCCTAAAAAAACGCACCCACGCTCCAGCCTAGGGGCTTCAGTGTTCCTCTAGAGCCCTTAAAACACTACAGCATTTCCATACACTCTGCATTGCCCAGAGCAGGTTATTAAATAAAGTAATAGCTCGCTTACTAAGCCTCACCAAAGGGCTGTTCAGCTCCATGCCCACGATCACTGCCAAACATGGAGCTTAGTTAAGGTCCCTGGGGCTTATCAGCTGTTCATGCTTCCCATATCTCCCTCCTTAGATGCTGCAAAATGAGCCAGCATATGCCACTGTTTATCAAATTGTCTCCAAAGACCTTTCTAGAAAATTCCAGCCCAGGTGATGACTGTCTCAGGAGGTTATGAAGGATAAAAGTCAGATGGTCCTCATTCTGTGGATAGACAGCAACTAGACCCACATCATCTCATGTAGTCATGTATTCAGTGTCGAGCAAATGCTATTTCTCCTTGCCCATCCTCCTTAGCCATGTAGGTGGCCCTCTGCTACACCCACCCTCGTTTTCCAATGTGTTTCTTAACAGAGGTGTCCACAACTGGATGCAGTGTCCAGCTGTGGCCTTGAAAGGGGACCCAACCCTTCCTTCTCCCCAGTGCTTGATCTGGAGCAGGACCATAAGCTACAAAATCATGTTTTCTTAGTTATCCTACAGTATATACATATATATATTAATAGCTGTTTCTTGGTGAAGAGCAAACTCAATTGGTCCAGAGGAAGGTAATGCTGTGCCAGGACTAATACTGGGAGGCAACAAATGGAGAAGGAATGCAAGGAGCTGCATTGCGCCAAACTACATGCGACTGTGAAGCAATACTTCTGTGCTTAAGAGTTCCCATGTTTATATTTCTAACCCCTGTAATGTCCATACAGCTTTAGGAAGAAAACAAGAGTAACAACTGAAAAGACAGCCACCATATCTGCAATAAGAGATGCCTGATTTTACTTTAAGCTTTTTGCTGCTGCACAGCATCACTCCCTGCAAATACCTGTACGTTATTACAGCCTTCCTCTGCTTTAATTTAGTCAACCTTTGCAATATTAATTTATACATTATCATTTGGTGTTCCAAAGTGCTGACAGGGTTTGGAGTGTTTGCTGTATTGGACAAGCCTTTTTAAAACCAAACTCAAAACCACAAAAACCCCAAGATTTGTCACTTGAAGCTTAATGCTGTTAGTACCACACAGAGGGGAACAGTCTGGTTAGTGAGGGGTTCCTACGTCTACCTCTACATCACAGAGGCTTTTTGTGCTTGTGTTTGGAAAGCAAACACCATTAGAGTTCGTGGGAAAATTATCTGCTATGGATTGTATTTCAGCTACCAAGATCCAGACTGTGCCAGCCTCTCAGTCCCTACAGGGCAAGGTCCCACAAAGCAGAGCCCTCCAGCTTCTCTCCTGTACCCAAGTGAGAAGGTACAGAGCAAACCCACAGGTACCTGTGCTGCAAGCATGGCTCTGCTGGACAGCACAGCACTCCCAGCCCCCAGAAATGCTGGGAAACAGGGAAGCTCCAGACACCGCTCCTCTAAGAAGCATCTCTGCATCACTAAGCCATCCTCCCAGGGCTTGTTCGAGTGCAAAGCACTCATGAGATGAGTGCTCTCCTAGCTCCGTGGCTTGAACAGGAAGGTCTTGTGTTGCCTCCTCCCTGTATAATACCAGAAGGCAACACCACCTGCACCCAGCATGAGCAGGCATGGCCCTTCCATCACCACTGCCTGAGGTCAGATCCCAACAGTGACAGAATGCACATCTGGAACAAGGAGTGCTGGCAGCCTGCAGCAGGAGCCTCTCGGCTTGATTTTATTACCATTTTATGGACAGCCGGCACCAAGAGCTTTCTATATTCATGAATTCATCAGATCTGTATTTCAAAAATAATAGATGTTGTTATTATTATTATTATTGGAATGAATTTCTTCTATTATGTTCTGAGTGATTGTAACTACTTACTGCCTCCAGCGCAGGAACCATCTGAAGAATAATACTTCTGTAGTCGTTGCTACAGGGTTGGGTGTTGGTTTTTTTGTGGTTGTTTTAAGTGAGAAAGGTAATAACCAGAACAGCAGCAGCAATCATAACAGAAATAGAGCCATTATGAGGTTGTGTATAAATACCAGGATTTTTTTTTTTTTTTTTTTTTTTTTTTCAGGTAAAGCATGACTCACGCTTCTCCCTGAGATTTTTCTTGATTGCATGGAGTGCTGCCTCTAACAACAGCCTCACACTTTCTGCCTGCTTTATCTTACGCACGGAGGAAAGAAAGCAAAACAAATCTCAGCAGAATGACTTTCTGATCCATTGATTGCAAAGGAGGATGGTGAGGCTCTTTGCTCCAAGCCTCAGAGCTCCTCCACAAAGCCCTTATCAATGCCTGTTTGCCCAAGTGTGCCTCCTTCACTTGTGCCTATGATGTGTACTTTGGAGGTGGGGCTCCCACCGCCCTGAGCAATTTCAGAACTGCAGGTTTTTCTCCTCAAAAGCTCGTCCATAATATGCTGTGCATTGGCAAAGAGCAAAGATGAACCAACTGACCATAAATTATGCACTCGCAAGCTAAATCTAGATAGCTAGTGGATAGAGCATAACAGCCGTGATAGATGGCTTTCCTCCAGCTAGCAGACAGCCTGGGGACTGGAAAATGAAGCAGAAGGGGCTGCAGAACTGCCCGGGAGGCTTCCAGGAAAAGTCCTAGCATGGACTGCTCTCCCTTGCCATCATAGCAGGGTTTATGGACAAAGTTACAAATCCCTCTTCACCCGAGTTGTTTGGTTCCCCGTTACAATTAGCAAGTGCCAGGCTCCATCCTGACCTCCCTTTTCATGTGACCCATATGGTGCTGCCATCCAAAGAGCTTCCACAGCATTCTGTACAATATGCGCTGTCAGCGTATTTTGACACGAGTCCAATAGCATGGATTCAAAAAAGATGGGATCCCACCATGCCAAAATACAACATTTGGTTGAGCATCTGCCAGAGCCTAACTAGCAGACTGTTGGGAATGTTGCATTTTCCTTTTTCTCTCTTTCTTTCTCTCTTTTTCTGTCCTTCTTTCTTTCGTTCCTTCTTTCTTTCCTTCTTTCTCTCCTTCTTTCCTTCTTTCTATTTTACTATTATTATATTTAAAGTGCACAAAGGCAAAGAGGATGGAGCATGGGAGATTCTCACACTAATACTATGTGACCAATTCATAGCAGGGTCTGCTAGGGGGGGGCATTCATCACAAGCACCAGGCAAAAATTAAACTTTTGATCACAGCGTGATAGTAAGTTGCTTTACCAATGCACTACAACACCCTTAACATATCCCTATCCAGATCTTAGGTATTTTCTCCTATGATATGCTGGAATGATTCTGCAAGACACAGATCCTGGGTCTGTCACAACAAGAACCATTCCCTTCCTTCAGCTCAGTGATGCTACATTATTTGAATATAAAATATTCAAATATACATTATTTGATAATAAAAGTTACGCATACATTTTGGTGGCTAAAATCCGCAGGGAATTTTGCCCTATGCTTTAGATTCAGAAACCCTTGATTTCACTGAATCACAAAATAATCAAGGTTGGAAAAGACCTCTAAAATCCCCAAGTCCAACTCAACCCAGCCCACCATGCCCACTGGCCGTGTCCCTAAGGGCCACAACTCCACAGTTCTTGAATCCCTCCAGGGACAGCGATTCCCCCACCCCACTGGGCAGATGTGCCATTTTGGTGAAGGTGAAGGCTCATTTTGGGATGTTGTATGGGAACCATTGAGTCCTGGCCTGAACACTGATTGAGCACCTGGGGAAAGGACCCAGTCAGCCCTGGGAGCACAGGTGAAGGCAATTGGGGTGGAGCCTGGCTGCACCTCTTTTAGACCCCATTTAAAGGCTGACTTCCACTAGGGAAGGATCTCTTTCCAAAGATTCCTCCTCTGTGGAGTTTCCCCTGGGAACCTTGATCCTTGGAGATGGGTGAGCAATCTTTTTCTCTTCCATTGTAACACTTTTTCATCACGTTGATCTTTCCAATTGTTACAGATGTCCTTCATGGAAGTAGGTTTCCTCTTGAGATAATCTATCTTGCTGCCAAGAGGAGGGTTAACGTGGTGTCAGTATAGCAACAGGTGAGGAATCCTGGAGAAAGTCTGATAGAAATTCATGCCACCTCCTTTCTTGATGTTGCACACGTGGATATTAGTAACTGGAGAGCCCTGGAGAAACTGCAGCCATATCTGAGATCGTGACAAAGATGTCCCTGTTCTCTTTGGGTTTGGCACCTTCTCCTTAAATGCTCCTGTTTGTCCCAGAGCATTTTCTGAACAATAATCCCAATCTCAGCCTACTTTTACAGGCTTTCCATATAGTCATCAGTTTCACTTATCCACACAATTAGCCATAGCACAGTTTCACAAGGACTGTGACTGGAGAGAGGACTTGGCTTTAGTCTTGGTTTTAATAGAAAATTTGTCCTCTAAAAAGTAACTTTGTCTTGATGAACTGAGAGCTGGCTCAGTTTACACTTTTCTTTTTTTAAAGCTCTGAGAAAGCTTGTGCTGATATGAGGTGATGAGATAAGCTCCAAATCTCCTTGGTAAGGAGTGTGGGTGGAAAGATGAGAGGGACAGACAAAACCAGGAGGTCAGCAAAGTGAGACGTAGCCTTCCACTTGCTTTGTAGATGACTGGGTGTGACCATGTACATGGGATGGGGGAATGATTTAAAAAAAGAAAAAAGCACTATACATAAAAGTAGGGCTTTCTACTATGAAAGCAGGACTAGGGTGAAGAGTAATCGTTGCTTTTTCCCCCAAAATTACACATTGACTGCAGAGTGGGGGCAGATATTCTCTAGAACAAGAGGAAGGGAATGAAAGCATTCATATGGGCAGAGGCAGCTGGATTCTGGGGTGCACTGAGATGAAGCCTGAGGGGTCAGGGAATTCTCCTCCTGCATGGAGACAAGTGGGACAAGACTGTGCAGAGGGGGAAACAGTGATTTCTAATGAGCCTTGCAGGTCAGGAAGCACTGACTGAACCCCCAAAAGGATTATGAGAAAAGTAAAGGAAGATAAGGGAAATGGAAAGCATGAGCTTGCCAGCTATGGATGTGTTAACCCATTTTTAGTTATACACGAGATCGTAGGACAAATTCTGAAGGAAACATTAATTAAAGGCACCGAGAAAAATGAGATAAAGTGCAACACAGGTTTACCAAAGGCAGTTTGTGCCAGACCGTGCTGACATCTTCCTTTGATAAGATAATTGGTTTTCCAGACAAGGGAAATTTGGTAGATCTAATCTATCTAGAGTTCAATAAAGCATTTGATATGGTGCCACATGGGAAATTATTAGTGGAGCTTGAGAAAATGAGAATTAACAGAAGGACTCGAAGCAGAGAGTGCAGGGGCTGGCATGGGGACAGCTGTGGGGTTGGTGTGGGACTGCTGGTGGGCATCTGAAAATGCCATCGTGACACCAATCGTGATCTCCCCCCCCAGGCTCAAGGCTGGGTGCAGGGCAGTGGGCTTGCTGAATTACCTGGATCTCTTTGCACCTCGACTCATGGGCATTTGGGGCTCACGACCTTGAGCTCTGAGGTGGGAGCATCGCTGCAGACTTTGTAGGGATGCTCTTACACCATGAGATGGCAATGTTGCTCCACCAAAAAGCATCTCTCTTCTCTTCCAGCACCAGTTAGGGGCGTCTGGAAACATTTCAGTACGTACTCCAAGAAATATCAGTGAATGCAACTGTGAAGTGATGATGATGAAAGCAGCTATATCAGTCCCTGCATGGCTCAGGCAGTGTGGCTCCGGACCACAGCCTCTATGTCTTGGGATGGGAACACGTGTGTGACATAGGAAGGAAGCATGCTGTGTCAAGACAGCTAAGAAAGAAGGCATCATTTCAGATCTGGTCTAAATCACCATTCCCAGAATAAAAAAAAAAAAAAAAATGAAATTACACAAAGTTGCTCAGGGTAAGTGTGAATGGGTACGTATGCATGTGTGGCAGAGAGATGAGAAGACAATTTTATACAGAAATAAGATCTGCTTATCCCTTCCCTGTATTTTTAGTTTAAATTACACCCAAATGCCATCTGATCAATTTGGCTGAAATGAGCCCTTAATCCTAATAAATCTTGATCATCTTTTGAGACCTTGGGAAGCAGCAGAGAATGTGTTTGTGTAAAGCATTAACACCTTGATTCCAGCTACCTCGTCGTGTATCCTACTCACAGGTGTGCAGAAATGCAGCTGGTAATGTCAAATGAGATATTGGAGAGAGAGAGACAAAGGAATGCTTTTGCCTGCTTTGTCCCCACACATCATCTCTGATGGGATTCACGTTCTCAACACGTGCTTCCACCTGTGCTGCGACAGAGATTTAGCTCAGGATAAAATTCTCAGTTTTCTTTAAATCTTTGGAGGAAGAAAAGAGCCTCAATCTGCTCGTTATTCCTCAAACTTAGAACAATCCTGCCAACTTAAATACATTTTCAGGGGGATTTATAAATACTGAGCTTGGCAAAGGGTGGTGTTTCAGAGAAATGCTGCTCCAAATTAGCCCAGTGGTGTAAATCAAGATGTATTCATTTGAATACAGGCATGATTATTTCTCCCAGCTGAGCATTTGATGGGGGGCTTTCTCTCATAACCTGCCTGTTGTCCTTTGGGTTCATCGTGATGCTGAGAGCTGCCTGTGGTGTGTGAGCTCTTCTCTCCCTGATGGCAGAGGAAAGGTGCAGAGGGATCCTGAAGGTGGTAGCATTGCCATTGCTAACTGACAGCAGCAGTGAGAGCATCTGAAAGAAAGGATGGTGCTGAAGATGCCCTGCAGAGATTGGCTCAGGGAGAGCATTCTTGCAACTGGCTTTGAAAATAGGAACAAAATGAGCAGTGCTGAACTTCCTATACTGGGAAATAAAGCAGTGAAAAGAGAATGGAAGTTAGCTTTGCAGCGTGCTGTGCAGCCCAGTGCTTAACAGTGCAGGTCAGCTGGGTGGGAGGCTGTGTTCAGATCTTTCTACTCTTGAAAATCTGCATATAGATTCCATGGGGAGTGTGCTCTTGTGGGTTCTTAATGCCTACAGATGCGTGGGAGTTGGGTTTCTCTCCTGGGGTGCACTTGAATGAATGCACTGATCCCACGGTCTTGAGCAGTCTGGCCTCCAGCTTCTGCACGTTTCTCTGTAGGACAAACCTTTGGAGCTCCACCCTACAGCACCTTGTTATTCCTGGAGCACTGCATAGATCCTGAACGTGGCTGTACAGGCATCCCTCCGCTTGCCAGCATTTTCCATATGAGGGCCTTGCTATGACTAAACACAGTTTTATAAGTCCCATGGCATCCAGCTATAAATAAGAAGATCAAAGCCTTGACCCTTGGAAACTAACTGTGACCTCATCATTGAGCAACCGTGCCCCAAAGACTGTATTAAGCTGGAAGGGAACATAAATCTAGGAGGAACTAATGAAGACCCCCAGGGCCACCCTTCTCTATAGCTGTCTTGTTAACATGATCTAGGAAAGACAGGGGGCCCTTAAATAAAACAAAAAAAAAACCAGAGGTAATAAGTGACTCATCAAAGTCAGGCACAGACAGAGTATTGTCAAGGAGGTGCTGCAGCATGGGATGAAGTACTGCACAACTTTACAACCCAGCCTCGCTGCCAAAGGGGGCTAGGGAGCAGTTAGCCCTCTAAAGCTTGGGCAACCTTCACGGCCCATGGAAATATGTGCCATTCTTACAGGCAATGGAAGGTCCCATCCTGTCACCCATCCCTCTTCTTACTGACAAGAGCGTGCAGACCCCTGCAGGTGGGACTCAAAGCCTTTTGCTGAGGAAGGTGGTGATGACAACCGTGATGGAGGATGGGGTGGCTGCGCCAGGACAATGGTTCTGGTGGGGATGCTCCTTGCAGGAAGCCCAGGCAATCAGGACCATCTGCCTGCGGGAACAGCAGGGCAGGACTGGATGCAGCACTGAGCTTCAGGTCCCTAGGCTTGCATGTCCTTGCTCTTGACCTTACAAAATGACTGGCAGATGGATGGGAAAATTGCACAAAACGATAGAGTTGGGTAATGATTTTAAAACCGTTTCCAAGCCTGATGCTTCATCACAGTTCTCAGATGCTACAGAAGAGAATTGTGCTGGCTTTCCAGGTAATGCAGATGCTGATTTCCCCTAAAACTGTATTTTGGCTGCTCACAATGACTTGGTGTCCCAGCTGCCACTGGGGATCCCAATGGCACCAGGAGCCAGGTGGGCTCCCATTGTGCCCATCCGCCAACGAGGACAATGTGCCAGGAACAGATTAAATCTCACATCAGAGACCTCGGGAGCCCTGGTAGCAGCCTGTCCCCCTCACTAATCCTATTCTCTATTAATTTGTTATCCCATTAACACCTTGCACATTTCTTTCTCTCACCACTGCGCTATCCTTAGAGACTGCTGGGGATCCTGTAATATGCTATTTTGTTGTTACGAGTGTAAGCCAGCAAACTCTCCTCATCTTAGCCTAGAAATCCCTTGATAGAAAGAAAGAAAACTGCTGCTTTGTTTCTTTCAATCAATACTATCCATTAAGATCTGTGTCTAACAGCTCCGAGTCCAAGTGAGTAACAGAATGAGCTACCTCCTGCTCTCTTAAACCTTTGGAAACAGTAAATGCTCTTCTGAAAAGAACAATTTGATATTGCAGCCCTGTCTGGACCAGGCGGGGGGGGGGCAGCTTTCTTCTCTGAGGTTTGAAAACAAAATTGCTCACGATTTTCATAGAGAACCAGAGGGCAGAGAGAAGCATGGAGGGAGCCGAAATGGGGGGTGAGACATCAGCTGGGGTCAGCCTGCCCCCCAGTGTCTGTATACCAGTGTGTCAGAATGCACAGGGAGCATGAGGCATAAAATCCCCAGATTGAGCTGTTGGTGGTGGAATCTGTGCAATTTCATGTATTCGGGAGCAGTTCTGCGCATCCACAGCCCCAGTGCTGCTGGGACACAACGAGAGCAAAAGAGCTCAGCCAAAGCCCTGGAGCTCCATTTACAGAGCATCGTGGTCAGATATCTTCTTCTCCTTCCCATCTTCTGGATGTCTGAGTCCAGCAGACACGAAGTTGTCCTTGTGCCTATTAATACTGGTGCAATCAATACCAAGCAATCAAAAGCAGCGCTGATGCTGGTGCTTCTTTTCTCTTGGTGGCCCAGAAGCAATATTTCAGCCGCAAGCAGGGAACTTGGCTTTGAAAGACCGAGTCAGTAGGTTATGGTGGCAAACCCTTTGGGGAATCCCATAAGGAAACCATATATGTAGCCCCCAAGAGCATTGGCAGAGGAACTCTTGGTAGAGTTAGGCAAATACTCATACACTGTGCAGGCATTTGCAACAAAGCATGTCTCCCCGCTGACATTTAAGAGAGAAGATCCATCTAGATATGGGCTAAAAGAGTGATGACAAACGGAGAGAGCTTGGTCCTTAGAAAAACATCCCTGAAGCAGAAACTGCTGCAGCGTTTTGCAAAGCATGGAGCTATGAAATGGTTCTCCTTCCCCACCTGACACCCAGGGTGCATGCCACTGAGTTAGCAGTAACCGAAAGTGCTCCGGGAATGTGATCTGTGTTCATCAATGATTTGAAGGTTCATCAGTTCGCCTCAATGTGATCAATACTTTATTATTCCACCGATCGATCCCTGCTTTGTTTGTGAACTTTACCCAATTGATATACATTAAGAAGTTTAGCAGCATTGATAAGGTTTAAATCAGGAGCTGTAGGTGGAGGAGAAGTGGCTGCGTGTGGCACTGTGGGTCTGAGTACAGCGGGTGGATGCATCTCTATGGGGATGTCAACAGCTCCGTGGTCACAGAATGCCTGGTTAAAGCCAGATCTTGTGCTGGAGTGGGCTCAGGGCTGGGGTGATCCTGTACAGGAGTCTGGCAAAGGAGCAAGATGTCTCTGGGTGAGTCAGAATTGCTGCACTCGGAACCCAAACGTATGCAGTGGCCATGGGAAGGGGTCATGGAGCTCTCACTGCTTTGCCCCTGTAAGCAGGAGCACACTGCTCTGCTTGGTGTCCCCCTGGACATCCTGGGATGTGGAAAGCACTTGGAAAAGATGTGGCTTGGAAGTGAAATCTGGTAGTTTGCTTCATGGCAAGGCATAAATGACCCAACACGAGGAATTTTGCTGCTGCAAGGCATGCAGCCCCCAGGCCGTGCCCAATAGGTTTAGGTTTCACAGGGTGTATGTTCATCTTTCTCACTATCCCCTCTGCAAACCCAGCATTATCTTTGTTCCCAGCATTCGTAGAATCATAGAGCACGGAGGTTGGAAAAGACCTTCAAGATCGTCCTCTCCAACCATTGGCATTCCACATGGGGAGAACTCTGTGACTCCCAGCCATACAACAAGCACATGGTTTTCCCTTGACTCCAACGAAGAGCCCCCATCCCCTTCTGCACAGTCCATTTCTGACTTGGAAGGGATCAGAGAGCCTGTCCTCATAGCATACTGATACACAACACATGGCCAGGATTGCTTAAATCCCAGCCTGTGCCATCCTCCTGCATAGTCCTGGGAAGGACATCATCTCCTGGAACACCCTCTTCCCTTTTCCTCTGATGGTTACTGAAGCAGGAGAGAAAAACATCAAGTGGCTTTAGGAAAATAAAACATCTATATTATATGTATTACTGAAAGCATCCTGATTAAAAGCGATTTTATAGCAGGATGCAAACTGCAGCTGGAGTCAGCATCCGAGTTGCTGGCCCCTGCTCTCGCCAAACTACTTGTATATTATTCACAGTTGTAAATTGCTTTGAGATTTCTGGAAGTGGATAAAGCCCCATTTCTCTGCAGTCCTTTTAAACATCCCCGTGTAAAATCTATTAACATTCAAAGGGATGCATGGGGATGAAAGGCTGGGGAAAAAAACATTGCTAAGAGTATGCAATGCCCCAAGCCTCATGCAATTTTACCTGAAAATGAAGCTTTTGTCAGTGTCTTTTCTCCATGGGGCTTTTCCATTCCCCGATGTAATCTGAACATTTTACTATTTGTGTCATTACTGAACAAAAGGGTGAAAATGTGATTTTTTTTTTTTTTTAAATTAAAGGGTTGTTCCCCCCCTAATAGAAATGGTAAAAGAATATCAAATTATGACCTGACAAGGCACACTTCTGAAAGAGAATCACCAGAGTACAGCAGATCTATATCTTATCTCTCTATGAAATTGCATGTCTATGCAGCAGCATTGTAACAGGTTTCAGCTGGGCATAAATTCGTAGCATTGCAGGGTCTAAATAGGAAGCTTGTTGGAGCCTAAATTGCGAGTGAACTATGTGCAAAGCCATTTCAATACTAATGAGCCAGTAGTCGCACAGTCACAGAATATCAGCAAGGGGATGGGGTGGTGGGGAGATGTTCTTCCCTTGGCACAGCCCCCAGAGCTGAGCCCCGATTTGGAACTGGGGCAGGGGTGGAAAGAAGATGTGGTTCTGCTTGTCGTCATGGCTAGAGCCTCTTCAGCCCATGCTGGGGCAGGAGATGGGCCCAGTGTTCCTTCTTCATGGGGTGACCACGCTTCTTTTTTCACACCTTAAAAGAAAGAAGAAACATATCAAATCCAAGAGAAGCAAAGGTGTTTCTTATTGTAGTTAGGAACCCAATCTTCTCATCAACACTACCTTGGACAGAGCTCTTTATTTTTTTGCCCAGACTACGTAGAACATCTTCAAAGAGCCCAGCATCCACTGGAGGAGCACGGTGCTGATTTACCACACGTGAAATCAGTGCTGCCTGCTCCCAGCGCCGTCTCAAGTCCCAGCGTATTTCTAATTGGTGGGTTTTGTTTTCATTCGCCTTTCCTGATGTATCCTTCGAGTAATTCATTCAGAGAGGAGATATTTTAAGCAAATATTTTTTCGAATGATGGTTGGATTACTTGCTGTAGTGTTCATAAATAGCTGTTCTCGATAACAAGGTTGCATATAGTGTTTAATGGAGAGAGCTGTTGATTTATGGTAGCATTAAGCATGTACGTGAACTTACATTTGAGACTGATAAATACGAGTCCTTAATATGCACATGCATCATTTTTATGTTCCTTTTACAAAGAGGTTTTGAGTTGTGTGCGCATTATAAAATTACACAGAAAAGAATGCCTGTAGTCTGCACGGGAGCCGAGGCCGCTGAGTGGTAATGAAATATACATTTTCTGGTATGCTGTGTGCAGGTTTGCTGTGGGAGCAGTATAAAATTTATGACATCCTGAGCTATTCGTTTTCACGGCTTTCGAGAACTTGGGCCTTGTAAACGCTGTTACCAATCGCAGTCGGAGCAGTTGTTCATTTGCTGCTTTAATTGCTTTCTTAATGACCACGTTTTATTGTTATTGTAATTAGTAAATTAGAGCGTTTTCTGATGCTGGGCTCTTTTTCTCCCCAATTCCAGCCTGTTTTCTGTTGGTGAGCTCTCTCCTTGCCCTCTGTGCTGTGTTCTACTTCAGTAGGTGAATTCTGGGGGTGCAGATGATGTCTCTGGGGTAACTGAACTCCTGCCATCTATTGGAAGCTACAGGAAGAGGGGAGAGGTTCCAGCCACTGCTGCAAGATCCAGCCATGGGGCTGGGGAGCCAACCTGCCTAACATTCCCTGCAATGGCTTTCCTGCTGCAGGCACTGAGGTGAGAGTAAAAATGAAGTTTGCTCTTTGACTCACAGCAGGGCTGCAAATGATGTTAACTGGGAGGAGTGTATGTTGCTATATGGGAAGGCGGCTGTTAGAGTCACTCCCTGCCCATCCATCTGCTCCTCTCTGAAACACTGCTATTGCATTTTGATTCCACTCCTTCTCTCACCATTTCTATGTTCCTTCCTTGTTTCTCTCTCTCTTTCTCCCCATTTGGTTCAGTGCAGTGATGTGCGTTTTCTCCTCCCATCCCGCTTCTCCCTGTGTCACCACATCTGGCCTTGCATCATCCTGCTCCAGACATAACACTCCCAGATGAAGATCTCACCTGAATAAGGAACCAACATTGCTCTTCCTTCCAGGGCACTCAACTCACCCCCATTCCCACAACACTTTCCGTGGATATAAAGAGATGCTTTCTTGCTCCAGCAAAGGCTCTGCTGGATTGGCAGGAGGTGAGTAAGGCATTTGTTGCTGCACCGTGTGAAAGTGGACAAATGCTGAGAGGTGAAAATACTATTGCCTGAGTCATATCTTTTTTTTCTGGATTTTCTAAGCTTTCCTTCTGCTGCCATTCTTAAAAAACAAAACTATGAGAATCTACATGATTTTCCTCAGGATTTTCAGGTTAAGATGAATGTGCTCTCTTTAATGCCACAGAGAGTTTTGTTGTGATTTCTGACCGTCAGTCCTACAACATGTGGACCACACCACTGCTCCCCCTTTAGGGACAATAACAGGGGCTTAGGAATGTGTGTCTCCCCATAAATCCCATCTCCTGAGGTGCATGGGGAGCCCAGAGTGGCTTCCAGAGCCAGGACAGAACGGAAAGTGAATCTGCACCTTTCTCCTTGTGCTGGTTCAGGGTAAGGAAGTTTCCCTGGTTAGCTTGAAGGAAGGGTGCCTGGGCAGTGTGACCCTGAGCTCTCCCACCTTCCTGTCTTGTGCTTCTGTGTTTGCCAGGTTGTAGTATCATTGAACGGCTTGGGTTGGAAGGGACCTCAAAGATCACGGTCGTTGGCTCTTATCATAGAATCATGGAGTCATTTGAGTTGAAAGAGATCTTTAAATGTCAAGTCCAACACCTCTTCAATGAGCATGGACACCTACAGCTCCATCAGGTGCTCAGAGCCCCCCATTCCTGAACTTGAATGTCCCAGGGATGGGCCACCAACCACCTCTCTGGGCGACCTGTGCCGGTGCCTCACCAGCTTTATTGTCAAAAACTTCTTTATATCCAATCTAAATCTCCCCTCTTTTTGTTTGAAAACATTTCCCTTTGGTTTCAAACTTCTCTCCCCTAACCCTGCCTTTCATTTTTTGAATTATTCCCAAGCTCTGTGATTGGGGAATTACCTCTGTGTGCTTCGGCCTTGACTTGGTTTTGATATCTTGCTCCAGGCAATATGGAAGTAGCTGTGAAATGCAATGAGTAAGTACGTTTTTCAGATCTTTTTCAGAAGTACATTATCCCAAAAATATATCATATTTTTTTTAAAACCAAGGACTGGGTTCCAGCTCCCAAAATATACCACAACTTGTCGTTTGAAGAGGACTTTGGAAATGAATGGAGCACTGATCACAATTAGTACAAAGTAATTTAAAATTATTTGAAGGGCTTTCATAACATGAAGTGTTCCAATAATTTGTAATTACTTAATGTTTCACCTGCTCCGAATCCCATTTACTTCCCAAATCAAGCCCTTGAAGGGATTTGAAGTGGCACATTTCAAAATGAACAGGGCAACCTGGAGGAGCTGCTAATTCTAGAAGCACTTGTGGCACTCCTGCATAACAACGAGTTTTTGTTGTTTCAGATGCAATCCCCAAATGGTCACTTGAAGCTTTTCTCCCCAGGCAGGTGGGAAAGGCTTGGGCTAAGGTGGGCTGTCTGAGGGCAAGCAGGACAGGCAATGTATGGCAACCCATGGGAGCAGAGGTCAGTGTGGGCAACATGCACTGGAGACAGCCTCCAAAGGGGGAGAAGCAGATTAAACCCATGAAAAACAATGGAAAAGCACCAAAAAGAAATAGGAA